TGCCTTTGAATGGTATGCCGATTTGCCCAACAATTTGGTCAAAATATTTACAGAATTCGAACAGTTATTTGTAAAAAGATTCACCAGCGCGGAACGTCATGTTTCTATTGGAGAACTCATGATGGAAAAATAAAAATATAGAGAAACTTTGGTAGATTACATTTTGAGGTGGAGAAACCTCAACATGAAATGTGAACCACAACTACAGGAACATCATGCAATTGAGATTCTACTCAGAAGCATGCATGAATCAATAGCTTTCATGCTCAAGGGACTCACCATCAAAACCTTCGAGAAGCTACTAAAGAAAGCTAGTAGTCTTCAAGAAGATATTAAACATATGGATTCTAGTGAAAAGGCAAAAGTAACCAAGGCCTTTGAAAAGAAATCTGGAACAGTTGCAACCATCGATAAAAGGAAGCAACCAATGAAGATATATGCAGAAAATCCTCGTCCGACTTCATCTCAACATCTCAACAAACTCAGAAACAGACTAGTCAGTCTAGTCAACAACCATTTCAGGGAGAGTCATCTCAAAGAAAAAAGGTATCCTTCGCAGAGAGACGAGCGATAATATATTCTTTCAAGAATGAAGCTATTTCTAAGATGTTCAAAAGTTTGATAAAGAATCCAGAATTTAAACTTCCAGAACCCAAGAAGCCTGAAGAAGTTAATAAGAAGAATGAACCAAATTACTGTCCATATCACAGAATGTTGGGGCATACAATTGAAGAATGTTTTGTTTTCAAAGATTGGCTTAAGAAGAACATTAAAGAAGGGAATATATGTATCCTAAAAGAATATTTAAAAGAACCTGAAAAAAGTTCGGTAAATGTGATTTCGGCTGAGCCAATCTCCCAACTTGATCCATACATTAAAAAGAACGGATGGAGTTCAACTTGGAACAAGCTCAAGAAAGTCCTGGATTATATACAGGAATTATCAGATGGATCTTCCTCATCTACCAAAGATGGATGGGATACCACATGGAGCAAATCCTCCAAAAAAATGATAAAACAAATCCAGAACGCTTTCGGACAGACTACATATCAGAATTTTCAGTCCGTCAGATCAGAGATGGAAACTTCGTCACAAGAACCATCATCATCAAAATCAAAGAAGATAAAGAAAAAGAATAATTTTGTTGATAGCACTAGGGGTAGGATAGGGGCTGCCTCTACTAGATATGTTGACTCTTCGGGAAAGAAAATCCTCGAACCCTTGACTTTGTATGATTATCTTTTTGTCCCTCTGAGACCTGATGAATGTAATGATAATGATGTTGGCTACGTCTTTACTGTTTCTGGTGATAACGTAAATAACCAACCTAATATCGATCTTGATCCTCAAAATGATCCTCAAATCAAACTTGAGTCTAATACGTTCAATACTAAAGAAGACTTCGATGATACCTCTTACGACAGTATCGCAAGTGAGGAACCAATCCTAAAGTACCATGACACGCCGTTAATAATCAACTTAGAACTTT